GCCAGGACACTGCAAAGGCAGCTTCAACCTTGAAAGGTAATTATAATTGATGATATTAGAGAGATATTAATTGTTCAGGTGGTAATGGTATGGTAGATGAGGAAATAAGAGTATGAAATGGACATGAGATGATTATAGAATTCTTGTTAATTTTTTTAGGTGTAATAATAATATGGTATTTATATAAAGATCCTCATTTTTAGGGGAATGCATGCTGAAATGTTTAGAGAGAAGTGACGCAATGTCTAGAATTTACTTTGTTTAGAAAAAATACATACATATATAAATATCACAACATGGTATTTGTTGAAACAGGTGATAAACATTCAGGCAATTACTATTCTATTATGTAAAAAAAAGGGGGCTTCCACACACAAAGGTGTACATGAATGTTTATAGCAGCATTATTCATAATAGCCAAAAATTGGAAACAATCCAAATGTCCATCAATGAACCAATGAATAAACAAGATGCAGTATATCCATACAGTGGATAGTATATGACCATAAAAAGGAATAAAGTACTAATACAAGCTATAACTTTGATGAACCTTAAAAACATACTAAGTGAAAGAAAGAAGCCAGTCACAAAGGTCCATATATTATATCCATTGATATAAAAATCCAGAAATCTATAGAGATAGAAAGTAGGTTAGTGGTTGCTTAAGGGTAGAAGGTGGGGGGACTAGGGAGGTGATAGCTAAAAGGTATAGGGTTTCTTTTTGAGGCAATGAAAATATTCTAAAATTAATTGTGGTGATGGTTGTACATATCAGTGAATATATTAAAAACTACTGAATAGTACACTTTAAATGAACTGTATGGTACGTGAATTATATCTCAATAAAGCTGTTTAAAAAAAAAAACATTGGGGGCTGATACATGTTAAAACATGGATGAACCTTAAAAACGTAACTAAGTGAAAGAAGCGAGACCCAAAAGGCAACATGTTGTATTATCCCATTTATATGAACTATCCAGAACAGGCCAATCCATAGAGACAGAAAAAAGACAAGTGGTTGCCAAGTGCAGGAGAGGGAAATGGGGAGTCACTGCTTAATGAGTATGGGGATTTACTTTGAAGTGCTGGAAATATTCTCAAACTAGACAGAAGTGTAGTTGGTTGCATACATTGTAAATTTACTAAATGCCCGAGTTATACACTTTGCAATGCTTGAAATGATGAATTTTATGTTATGTGCATTTTACCACAATAAAAACATTGGAAAATAAAGCGAAAGCAAATGCAAAGGAACTATTATCACAGAGAGAAATACTGACTGGAGGGAGATTTGAAAGAGAAAAAGATAACCAACCTGGAAGTGAAGCCGGGTACTTAAAAAGAATACTCCTTGCATATACTTCTTCTGAAGCAGGATCAAATGAAAGGGGAGACATGGGTGGTAAAAGATCCACAGCCTTAAAACACAGAATTCACAATTTGAAGTATACACATTTTATTCATTACCACAATAACACTGCTAAATTAATCTATGAGTGGATGATTTTTTTTCCCTAACAAAAATAGTATTACCAAACATATTGAACTATCCTACAACTATTTTTTAGGAAGCAGGAGATTACTCCGACCTCCAACTAACTCACGTCAGGAGGGATGTTTGGTTTTCTTGTTAAGACAATCCTCTGAATCTAAAAGTATTAACTGCAAGTCACAACAGCAGTTTAATGACTATTTTAATACATATTTAGAAAAATTACAGAAATCAAAACATTTGAATTTTAGACTCAAATGCAAAGATGACAAACATGCATACACATAGCATTTCCAGGTCATTTGTGACATGATAAATCAAGAGACTGCTTTATATTAAAGGAGCCCTGGTGGCACAGTGCTTAAAGTGCTTGGCTGCTAACCGAAAGGTTGGTGGTTTGAACCTACTAGCCACTCCTAGGGAGAAAGACAAGGCAGTCTGCTTCCATAAAGATTTATAGCCTTGGAAACCCTATGGGGCAGTTCAACTCTGTCCTACAGGGTTGCTCTGAGTAGGCTTCAACTCGACCACAGTGGGTTTTGGTTTGGGCCTTAAACCACTTTGCAAAAATGAAGTCAATATTACTTACTGGAGTACAACCTTTAATTAGACTGAACGGAGACAGACCAAGAAATTCTTTCCACTTCTTATACCATTCTCCTTGTTTCTCAACAATAGAACGTCTTATAGTTATAAGATCTTCTTTTATTTTATACCTATGATAGCATTAAAAAAAACTTTATTCAAATTATGAATACACAAAAAGGTACTGAATAAAATTTAAGAAAGCAATGATGGTTGTAGGGAAGAGGAAGGAAATATAAATCCAAAGTTTAAACAACTTTAAATTGCCTAAACTCTCACAAATGAATATTCAGAGCCTAAAGTACCTTTTTTCTTTTTTAAGGCCAGAAAGCAATAATACATCTATTACTCCATTTATCTTTATAACACAATTGTTTTTCCTGGTTCTAAACTGTCAGAACTCTACTACCACCCTCTGTTCATTCCTGATAGCATCCCATACCTCCCAATCTTTCTGCTCAGACAAAAAACTTCAGAGGCCCAGTTTTATTAGGTAGACCTCACAAAGTAAAAATTAAAATTATATCATAGAGATATCACTCGGCAAAAAAAAATTTTCCAGATAAAGAGAAAACTACATTAATTTTCCTTTCTATTTCCTGTGTCTCTCTTGGGAGTTGATCAGATAATGTTTTTGACTACTAATAAAATTTTCGCACTTGTTTGCAAAAGCCAAAGAGTTGTAATTATATATGAGTTTTGCTGAGAAATTATCAAAACCACCCAATCCTCCCACAGTAAAATAACAGAACATCTTTCTAGTGTACCTCATTTGCTTCAGATCTGATAATCTTTCTCTCTGAAATCTGGTCTCTTTTTCAAGGTAGTGAAGGTCAATTGTCAGTCTTGCTTGGTCAGCCTGACAATGTTCATATTTCATTATTTTCAAAACTTCATTTAATAACTGAATAACTGTTAAGAGGTTCAATTTTCCAGCCTCATAAACATTTCCTATGTGTAACTAAGGATTCAGAGAGGAAAAAAAAAAGTGGTGAACTATTGGTTCTGAAGATAATAAACTGCTATGTAATATATTTGTTTTTTAGTATTATATAAAAACTTTACCTTAAAGAAGAATTAAGAAAAAAAAAAACACCTTTCCCCATCAAAAAATAAAACTACAGTAAACAATTTTGTTCCAATGAAAAAAACTACTGTGAAAGAACATGACATGCCAAGTTTTTAATTCAAATAGACAGAAAGCAGAATAAAGACTGAGGAGAAAGGGCAGGTTTGCAGAAAGATCACGAATTCACTTTTTAAGAAAAGTTGCAACTGAAGGCCCCTAAAAGCTGCATCCAAACTCGGACATGTTTATTTGGCCTGGACAGGTCCAGTGTTTTAAAAACATGCGAAATCCATGGCCAACATTTAAAAAGCCACATATTTCACATAGAAATTACTCTCTAATTCTCCAAACACCTCACCGCTTCTTACTTTCTCCCTATTGTTATGCTAAAATGAGCATGCTCACTTATATATATTACCTGCCTAGCCCCTGAAGAAATCTGAATTTGCAGATTCTGATTTTTAAATCTGATGTGCCTGTCATGTTACCCAGTAAACTGAAAGCGCTTCAGGGTCAGAAACAATATTTTATTTTTGTATTCCCTATACTATATCAATACCCTGCATATTGTAGATGCTTAATAAACTTGTGTTTACTAAAAAAAATAAAATGTGGGCTATCCAGATGGAAATGTCCTATAAGCAACTGGAAATAAGCAGATAGAGTTTAGGTTAAAGAAGAAAGACTGGAAATACCAATTTATAGGAGGCTGTGGAAGCCATGGAATTGGGTAATAAAGTGAGGGGAATCTGTACTGTGGGAAAGAAAAGGGGGCATTAAAGGAACCAAGGAGAACACTTTCATTTAAAAGTTAGAAAAAGGAACCAGTGGAAAAACTGAGAGCAGCAGTCTGAAAAACCACAGGAGAGTAGACACTGAAGTCACAAAAGCTAAAGCAAGAGAAGACTTTAAAAGGAATATTTAACATCCAGAAGAGAAACCAAGAGGATGAAGTATTTTAAAAACAACATTTGGCAATTAGGAGATCACTGGTGCCCTCACTGAAAATTTATAAAAAAACGAGTATCATCTTCCTACTAAGTCAGCTCCCACTCCCCACACTGTATGATGCAGCACCAGACAAGCCACAATTAATAAAAGTACATGGATACCCTTAAGAGTACCTCTCTTTATGACAGTTATAATAGACATACTCACAGCAAGTTTTGAAAGTTGTAAAAAACACTAAAAGAACAATAGCATATAACATGTAAAATAATAACGAGACAGAAGTTTTCTCAGAAGCTTTTTTTTTTTTAATTGTGGTGAAAATATACACACCAAAACATCTGCCATCACAACTACTGCTCAGACATTTTCTTACTATCAAATGCTTACCTGACCCATTTGTTTTTCAATTTTGTCAAGTAAGAGCCTTGGAATATTAATAGCAACATTAGTTCCATCTAAAGAGTACTGGTTAACAAGGCTAAGGACTGAACTAACAACTTCTCTCTCTTTTTCCAAAAACATGAGTGTTTCATTCACTGAAGCCCACAACGACCGAACCTTTGAAAACAGAGACAGAGAGGAAACATTATACATAGTCTGAACATACACTTAAGAAATGTAAAACACAAATTTATGTTCATTCCTAGGTACAAATGTATTACTGGAATAATTTCTGATGAAAAAAATCAAATATCTGTATTTTAACAGTCTAAAGGCACTGATATTACTTACAAAAGGGCTTTAAAACCAAAGCATTTCTTAGAAGAATCTAGCTCACTATGATTTTCAAAGCAAATCTGATCAATCTTATACCACCAAGATGCAATTAGCATTTCCTGTATTCTGATGTGCCATTATCTAATGGAGATTTTTAAGGGAAAACTAATAAAAGATTTTGGGGTGGGGAGGGAAATAACATTACACATCAATTTTAAGAGTCATTCAAGTTTAAGAAAAGTTAAAATATGTAAAAGCCTGCTTCTTAAGAAGCAAAGAATCTTAGGTATATACTAACATATGTTCACTAAAACTCAGGTACAAGAATACTCACAGAACTATTTTTTTAATAGTTAAAAACTGGAAACAACCCAAAGATTCACCTAGAGTAAAATGGGTAAACTGTGCTATATTCATACAATAGAACATTATTATACAGCAATGAGAACGGCATATCACAACTACACACAACAACACAAATATCACAAACATAATGTTCAGTGAAAGAAGCCGATACAAAAGAGCATATTCTGTAGATTTCTATTTATATAAAGTTCAAAAACAGGCAAAACTAATCTTTGCTCTAAGAAGTCAGGATACTGTTTACACTCAGGATAAACAGGTCGTGAGTGAAAAGGGGACTGAGGGGGTGTCTAGGGTCCTGGTAAGGTTGTTTCTTAACCTGGATGCTGGTTACACGCGTGTGTTTACTTAGTGAAAATTTGTCAAGATATACACTTATAATATGTGCACTTTTTTGTCGGCATGTTATGCTTCAATAGAATTTATAAAAGTAGGAAGGAGGTAGATAAATATGATGATCATACCCAACTCAGTGTCT